GCATTGGGAAAATACACATAACATTAATATTACTTTTTTTAAAAAAACAGCAAAGCTACATGGAGAAAGAGAAGTTTTAATGATATGCCAGAACCCATAAAAAAGGCTAACAAGTTTGAAAATTAATTCAACTAGTTCAGAAAGACCCTGTGTTATATTAACCTACTAACAGATTAATAAGGAAGACAGACATCAGAGTAAGGAATACCGTAATTACATTTCCTACTAAATCTGTAAAACTGATTTTCTTTTTAACCTTGCAAGTATTCTGTTTTCTAGAACAATATTTGGCTTATGAGCTGGAAGTAGCCTAACTCTTGTTAATAGTGAAAAATTTAAAAATAAGACTTCCGGTTTGCTGACACGGCCGCTATGGACGTATGGAAGATGAGCTCTGTCTTCTGCATCCAGTTTCGCATCACCGGGGGACCCTGGAAAGGGTCGAAAGTCACCCTGTATGGGCAACCAGCAAGGAGGGGATCCCTGTTTGATCTGGGGCAGCCCTCCAAACCGGCGGATGAAAGACTGGCCATAGCAATATGGCTCGTCACTAGACTGCAGACAGCCAAAGTCACACTTACCACCAGGCAACTTTAAAGCAGTGGGGATTAGACTGGGTGAGATCTACCTCTCTTAAATCCCTAACTATTTTTTTTACTTGAAAAAGCTGCTTAAAGTATTTTTCCCCCTGTGGAGAGGGAAGGGAGAATTTACCCCTCCCTCCAGAAACAGTGGTGACTGACTATCCAAGGGAGTTTAAAACGTTGCAAGAATAATTTGATCCTAATTGGAATTTTACTTTTTAAAGTTTGTGGACTAAAATAATTTCAATCCTTATTGAAGATCTGGGTTTTTACTTATAAAAAAGAAACAAAATTGAAAAGATTAAAAGAATTTGGGACTTAAAAGAAAACTTTAAATGGTAGAGGTGACATCTTGTGGCTAAACCTGACATTACAACTTATTATTTCTTAAAAGAGACTTGGCCAGCAGCCCAGACAATTGATAAGAGCTATGCAACCTTGAGACATCAGCTGTGAGAAGCCCAGCTGTGTTCCATACTCAGTGACAATTTTTTTCCTGTATTCTCTGATTGTAAAGCTTTTAACTTAATACACTACAAAGAGAATATGGATGAAGGCCAGGAACAGATTCTTTTTATGTTGAAAGCAATTCATAAAACTATTCTAACAGCCACTGATGAAAAAAGAGGTTAAAGAAAAGAACAAGATGTCAGCCCAGAGATACGAACTCCAACTTTGATTACAACTGAAAAGTCAACTATGCAGAATACAACAGAAAAAGTTGAACAATTGAACATTATGACAGAAGACTCAATTGATCAACAAATGGAAATGGAAAATCCAGAAAAGGGACAGACAATATGGAAAAGGGAAAAGACTTTCTACATAAATCAGAAGAAACCTGAGGATCAAGAAGAAGAACAGACTGAAGAGAAGATAAACGGTTCAGGACAACTATGTCGAGATGGAAAAATAGAGAGACGATTTGTTAGTCCTCTCAAAAAAATGGCGACTGGATAGTTTTTTCTACGTCAAACAACATACATAACAGTACAGGAAGATTTATTTTATGACTCAAAAGCACGGACACGGAAGATGATTTGGCAAAGAAAGAAAGCTAGAATAAGACTGAAGAAAATTGGGGTTTTGACTTACTAGTGGGAATTAAAATAGAATATACTCAAATAGATAAAATGTGTACTTTGAATACTAGATATTGTAATGAGTGGAGATAAAGTAAGCTTTTCATTTAAAACTTGGAAATATTAATATTAACAGTTAAATTTGAATGTTGATTTGCTTATAAAGATTAAATGTAAAGGTAATTAAAATAGATATAAGCTGAAAATTTATCGATGAATGTAATAAATATGTTCTTAGTTAGCAACAATAATAAAAATTATTAGCTTAAATATGAGATAGTAGACATTAAGAGAAAAAGAGAGGAAGTATTAAATGTTGAAATAACAGAAATTTTGGTTATTAAATTCAAGATATTTGGAAATTACTAGAAAATAAGAATATGATATTGTATTAGTATTGGTTGATGTAAGATGGTGAGAACCCAAATAGATAAGACATGTATCCTGAACATTAGATCCTGTGATGTATTGTGATAAAGAGAATTGGGGTTATTTAAAACTTGGAAATTATAAATATTAAACGTTAAATTTAAACATTAATGGGAAACTAAAATTGGGAAAAACTAACCCGGACATTGATTGTCAAAAAAGATTGAATGTTTAAACAACTAAGATATACATAAACAAAAATTATTGATAAATGTAAGAAAGCTATTTTTATTTAAGCGATATAATAAGAATTGTATTAAGTTAAATATGAGACAGTAAATACCAAGGGGAAAGGAGAGGAATTATTTAATGTAATAGTTTGAGATCTGTACTAAAGATATTTGTATGTTATTGAATTATTGACCAACTCAGCTGCCACGTCGCTTTTCAAATATTTAAATGTAAAATTAGAAAATTAATAAAAAATGTTCAAAAAAAGAGAAAAATTTAAAAATAAATATTGTATTTTCCAAAAGATTTAAAGCCAAAGTAGTCAATGGTAAGCAGTCTTTTTCATTCTCTTTTCTGAGCCATGGGTCTCATTTCCCCTCTCCCTGCTGGTTGTTTGAATTAAATAATCTATTCCAAAAGATATTCAGTGGTTGTATAACAACAGTCTGTAGCAACAATAGTTGATTGGCTAGTATCCAATCAAATTATATACAAGAGGTACAAGGTGTACTTCCTTCTTACAATAAGAGAAACAAAAATGGTGCAGGCAGGATGGAGGCCATGACCAATACACTTCAGGCACTGTGCAAGATATTCACAAGTAATCAAAGTTCACTTCCTATAAAATCTGAAACCTGAACCTATCAATGGCCAAGATAATTGCTCCTGTGCAAAATTAAAATCAAGAAATATTACTATCTAATCTAAGAACTGGAATGTCCCCTTATCTGCAAAAACAAAGAATATGCATATTAACAGTCAGAAGGAGAACCCTTGAATCCAAATGAGGGAGGGGGGACAATAAGACTTTCAGAACTTATAAAAATACAAACTAGAATAGAAGAACAACAGAAGAAGCCCATGTTATGAATATTTCCCAACAATACAGTTGGATGATAGAAGCAACATGTGTAATAATTGTATCAATTATTTCACTGTCTTTTTACTTAGTTCCTGGAATCATGGACCATCTTTATGACCTGCCTAATCCTTGACTTACTAGGACTGTTCAAAATTATGACAGACTCTAAGAAAGGTACTTGCAACCTGGATTCAAAGTTCTGATGGCTACCCTCCCTGCCCACAGTCATGTGATTGCATTTTGGGCACTTGGTAACCAGTTCACATTTATGGCCGTTTACAGAATGCTGCATTCAGGTAACTGCAATTTATGACTACTATGTCGGAAACAAGAGTTTACTTCCAGTTTTCAACAAAAAATGCCCATTGCAGAAAACTGATTCACTTAAAGACTTCATCGTTCGCTTAATAGCCATGGTGATTCACTTAAGGACCACCACAAAAAATCTTGCAAAATTAGATCACTCACGTGATGGCCTGCTTAATGACTGTCATGGCTTACAACCACAATTCCTGGTTCAATTACAGGACTACCTGTATAGACTTTTTTCTGCTGTTTTTTCTTAGTGGCTGAAAACAGTCTATGTCAATACACTGTTTATCAAAATTGCATTTTCTTGTTTTTTGATCATTGATTCTTCTCCTGATCAAGATGCTGAAGACAATTTTTTCAGAGTCCTTTTGGAGTCCAGAACTAAACAATGGAAGGGGAAAACCTGCACACTTAAGACATGTCCATATCCATTCTTTATAAATAAACTGTGGTGAGACATGTGAAACAGGAGCTCAAAGAAGCACATTTTCAACCAAAAGTCTCTCGCTTCTGACTGAAAGTCTAACCTTGCTCTTTGTTGTCTCCCTCTTTTGAGGTTGAATTTGGGCAGTCGCTGTGGTTAGCTTAAGCCAGTGGTTCTCAACCTTTTCTTCATCATGGATCCCCTCTAAATACCTTTTGTGACCACGAACCACCAAGATTTAATTCAAGATTTAAATCATAACATTTCTTCAAGCCTTTGCGGACTCCCTGTGACAATATCATGGACCCCTAGGGTCCACAGCCCACAGGCTGAGAACCACTGGCTTAAGTTATGTTTTACCAGGAACATTTGCATGAAAGGCAAAATGTTAGACCAGAGGTCCCCAACCTTTTGGGCACCAGGGACCGGTTCCATGGAGAGGACCGGAGGATGTGTGGTTTTGTGTGCTGCCTGCATCCCACGAATGGGGCTTTTCTTGTTTGTGTGGACCGGTTGCTGGCATGCCACAGCCCAGTACTGGTCCACGGACCAGGGGTTGGGGACCCCTGTGTTAGACTGTATCATAATCTTTTAAAGGTAATGAGTTACAAGCATTGTTGCCATTGAAGTTATATTCTATCCATGCTTGGGAATAAGCTGATCTCATCTGTTCTGGGTCATGAAGGACAAGAACTTAATTTAGTACAATCTTTTCACATATCAATACTTCTGTAAACCAAGAAAACAAATCAATTTACCATAATAAAAGATATATGACATAACAAATGGTCTTCATCCTTGGCACCTAGTATAACAAATATATGCTATATTTAGTTATTACAAGACAGTGTTCTGAACCAGCCAAATGTGTAAAACAGCTGAAGGGTAGGTAGTAACAGAATAAAATACTTATTGCAAAAATTATATTTCACTTCAAATTCCACAGATGTCTTTCTTGCAAACCACTCTAATGAACTACATGTTAGGGCTGTAAGCTATTATCGTCACTATTTCACTATTCTCAAAATCATGTTAAGAGTTTCCATATTTTTATTACACAATAACATTCTTACCTGGATTATTGGGTAAAAGGTGATAGCATTTTATTTAGACTGAAGGCCAAAATGGATACTCACCATTACTGAGATGTGAAGGATCCGTAGCTCTTCTTCTGCTGATTCGCTCTGGGGTTCTTCTGTGGGCTCCAAACCAGGGGAGATGGGCGTGCCATCTTGATGGTGGATGTGGAAGAGCAAGGTGCCATTTTCTAGCCACTGCTGTCTCCAGCGCACCAACGGGATATCTTCTGTATTGCCTGAAATTTCTGTGGATAAGAGAGGACAATAAATGCAAATTAGCATAAAGATTCTCTCACTAACCCAACCCAGCACAGTTATTAGTCAGGGACAACGGAAAGTGTACTAGAACTTTAGAACATACCAAGATAGCTTATTTAAAAAACCTGAACAGTATCTGCCAGCTAATATTCTTGCATTGATACCATCAGAGTCCCCTTCTCTAACTTTACCACTTAAATTTGGCAAACAAAAGACCAAAAGCTAGGGTAAGATATAGGGAAGCAAGAAAATATAGGTGCATTCAGATGAATTTATACTCTTTCCTTTAATCTGCCCCCCCCACAAAAAAAATCATAATCTCCAAAAAGTGAAAAGAAGGAACAAACTTTTCCTTGCATCTTCCAGTGATGTCATCTCATCACTACATCTAAACATGCAAACACTTTTTGATGTTTTAAATTTTAAGTGAGGCATCATATAAATTTAATTAATAAAATAATCTCTATGGTTCTTGGGAGATTGATTAAAGCAGGATTGTGATCCCTCCCTCAGAACAGTTATACAACCTTGATTTAAAGGAATGGATATAGCTGACTTCAGTTCAGTTTAAAGAGGAAATCAAAAATATAAATATATGTCCTGAGCTGAGAGTTAGAAGAATTAATTCAGTGATGGAGATCAGTCAATCTTTTTGAACTTTTCAACTACATTTGGCAAGTTGGTGCATGTCCATGTGCTCTTCCAGTTGTTTTAAAAGGTCTTCTTAACTTGATCCCTAAGTCCTTCTTTCTCATTTTGTATTGATCATAATTTAAGCGAATGCTCCAGTTGCTTATTGTTATTATTACCTGTCTAAGCCGCAGATCACTGATGAAGTGTTTTTTTAAAAATCTGGAAGACCTATATGGACTTTCTGCAGCAAGAATAAAAGACAACTGATGATTTATGGATTTGAGGATTAGAAAGAGTTAAAGAGGGACCGTAAGGAGTAAGATGGCCACTATTTGATAGAACAAAGGGCAGAAGTCAAAATTCTGTTTCTTTTTTTTCTTTTCTTTGTTATACTTTTATGGTATTGTAAAATCCATATGTATCTATAATCTATATCTATCAGATCTCTGGTAAGGAAGGACTCCTTACAACCTCTCTGAACTCTGAAATGTTATCGGAGTTGCAGTTTCAAAATGTTACCTTTCTTCTTCCCTGATGCAATAGCTCCCCAATCTTCTTTCCACACTGATTCTGCTGCCCTTATTATTAAAAGTAGTATTTGAAGGATTAAATAACAAATCTTAAGTACACCCATGATTTTTAAAAGAAAATGTGAACTCTGCATAGGCACAACTAAGAAAGCCAGCATGTTTACATATGTTCTTGCCAGGGGCACATTAAATTTTGTCTAAATACAGCTAGAGAAGCTGAAGAGCCAATTCATGGTGACACTAATTTAATAAATCAACTATGTGTCCAGAATATTAACTTTTCTTATAAGGCTAACTCCAGGCTACAAATGTACATGGAGTTACTGGATATTTAAAATAACTGTTTAAAGCCATTGGGTACGATCTTATCATCATAAAAAAAATTCCCTTGGGTCCTATTATATAATCTTATCCTACGTTTTGTGTCAATTGCCTCTATGCAGACATAGTGTCATTTATTTCAGCATTTAATGACTCAGAATAGCCACTAAATTTGATCTCATCATATCTCCAGCTTTGGCCACTTCTAGCAAAAATAAAATCATTCTGAAGAATTAAATACAAAAGGGGATGGGCAGAGCTCCATAAGATAGGGGAGAGCCCTCAGTGCAAATGAACAATTCTACTGACACACAATGTGCTCAAAAAAATAGCAGTGCTCCAAATGAAAAGGACATGAATGGAGTTCAATGCAAAAGCTACAGCAGGGTTTTCGTGAATTATTCTGCATTCTCTTCTCTTTGAGGATTGTCCCGTCAATATTATTTTTGCCCATTCCTCTCCATCATGTCTGCACAGATGATCATTACAGTTAGCATCTGTCACTATTATCATCTCATACCATTTGAGTGCTTGAGAAAGTCAACCTGCAATTGATGCTAAGGGCACTGGTCACATCTGATGCTACCATACGCTGTATACTGAAAGGTAACAAATGTTTTCCCTTACAGTTATTAACCCCTGGCTCCAGATGGCTGTTTTTTAATCTATTTGTTGGAAGTTAATGCCAGTGTTAATGACTTTTCATCTAAGGCCTTAATGGAAGTCACTTGGGAGAATCAGCCTTACCATCAATATCTTTCAAACTTTGAACTTGAAAGCTGTACTTTCTAGTTTTTTCCCTCCCTGGATCTAAATATGCTACCCCATCATATAGATTCATGAGCTGTACCCTTAAAAAGACATCATTAACAAATGCAGTAATTTAGCATACCAAGGGCATATAGCCCTAGTCCTTTTTAAACATGATACAAGTAGGCAGTTCCTTTCTGGGGACTCCTTAATAAAGGTCATTCCTGCTGCAAAACTAACAAGGAGTGGATGCTGAAGGGCTTCTATATTTGCAGGCCTTAATGACTTCACTAATACAGGCAGGCAAGCCTACTGAGATAATATAAGGTACCCACTATAATATAGCATGAATTCAGTTTGGGGGATCTGAGTCATGAACAAAATCTAGTGCAAAGAAACCTGGTACTGATCCCAGCATTGACAATATTCTTATGGAAAAAGGAGTGATTTCAGCAAAGTAAAGCTTTACATGTAAGTAACATGAAATGTTGCTGAATTTCTAATGTTCATTAAACAATGATGGAACATTTAAAACAAAACTGTAAATATGAGAGAAAAGCAGGCAGAATTTTGAATTTGGATACTAAATTTGACTTGACTCCTCTTTTTAAAATTAAAATTTGGAATAGCTTGTGTTCAAGTATTTAAATGACCCCCTTCTGTCCTGGCTTTGGGAAAAATCCATAAAAACATGGCTGTTTCATCAGCCATGACTGGGCCACTGACTGTTATATTCCAATTGTTTATGTATTTTTGTATGGATTGTTGGGTTCCTATTGTTTGTTATTTCCTTTAATCTGTTTTGGGGGGAAAAAAGAATTATATAGCACTCAAAGTCAATTTTTAAGTGCAGTGGTTTAAAGCAGTGTTTTTCAACCTTGACAATTTTAAGGCATGTGGACTTCAACTCCCAGAATTCCACAGCCAGCATTGCTGGCTGTGGAATTCTGGGAGTTGAAGTCCACATGCCTTAAAATTGTCACGGTTGAGAAACACTGGTTTAAAGCAAGGGTCTCCAAACTTGACAACTTTAAGACTTGTGGACTTCTACTCCTAGAATTCCCCAGCCAACATGGCTGGCTGAGGAATTCTGGGAGTTGAAGTCCCCAAGTCTTAAAGTTACCAAGTTTGGAAACCCCTGTTTTAAAGGCTTGTAAAGTGAATAATATAAATACATGGTGGGCAACAATTTGAGAATGCAAATTCTATCTTTTGTTTATGGTTGTTTAACACCGATCTGCTACATTCTAATTTGCTATGATAACCCAGTTCTTTTTTTATTATTATTTTTTCCTCGTTAAAAATTGGAAATTATAATTCATTTATGTTGTTACAAATAACTGACAATATCTAAGTAGTGATATTATTTTATTTAAATATCCATATAAATGAGGATGAAGGTTCATTCTCTGAGCTTGTGGGTTGGTTTCCAAGCATTTCATTACCAGGCTAGGTAACATCTTCAGCAGAGTTTAGGGAATGTCAGTGTTCTTCTGTTTTTAAGGGCGTCAGGTGTGGGTGGGTTAAGTGAGGGTCTGTAATGGGTCTTGTGATGGGTCAGGTGTGAGTCATCAGTGAGTCTCGTGATGGGTTGGTTACAGGTTAGGGTCATTGGGAGGTGAACTGCTGGTGGGAAGGGGGTTGCATGGATTGGTTGAGGGTTAGTGCTGTCTCTGGTTGACTGTGCGGTCGATTCACCTCCCAATAACCCTGACCTGTGTAACCTCCCCATCACAAGACCCATTACAAGACTCGTTGATGACTCACACCTGACCATTACAAGACCCATCACAGACCCTCACTTGACACGCCCACACCTGAAGCCCTTATAAACAGAACACTGGCACTGACATCCCCTAAACTCTGCTGAAGATGTTACCTAGCCTGGTAATGAAATGTTCAAAAACCAACCCACAAGCTTGGAAAATGAACCTTCACCCTTATCCTACACGCGATCCAGATATTTGCCACTATTGCAAATCCATATAAATATCAATATAAATATCCATCTATAAAACAGTTATCTTTATAGTTCATACAATGAAACCACCATGAGCTGAATTAACTTTTAGAATGAATGGAGATGCCATTCAAATTGAGCCTTGACTGCAACTGGCTGATCAGTGAACACACCCCTTCAGGTAAGCAGAAGGAAGGAAGATGAGTGCTAGGCTCCTTTAAATATCAAATGAGATCTTGCACACACGGGTCTTCGGTATTCCTTCTAAAATATAAATGCAACCACAGCACACAGTCTGTGCAACTGGAGGCAGAGCTAGTATAAAGAAATGCCTTGTTCTTTCTTCTTTGGAAATTTTTTAGCCTTGGGGCGAAAGATATGTCAGACCATCTTTGTGCAGGTAAAGGAAAAACTAGCAGTGAGGAAGCATTTTAAGCAGAAAAATATCCAAGCCAAAACATTAGAATTATTCTTACAGTCCATTCATGCCAGTTAAATCAAATTGCGCTTTCTTCTTGCTATTAAGGGAACTTGGGATGTGATTTCCAGGGCCACCTTAATTGAACAAAACCTATGAACAAACAATGACTGTTCAAGGCTGACTATCAAGGCAATGGCCATTCCCTCTTGGCAAGGCATCTAAGCATATTTAAGAAATCTAAATAAAATGTGCATTTGGAGTAGGGGGAGAGAATGCATTATACAGATGATGGACTGAAGACTAATTTCTTTAAGTGCTTATTATAACAGAGGACAAAGAATTTTTGCAAATTAAGGCATGGTGCAGGGAACA